ACATTTTGATCATCCCATATAAGACACCACATTACCCGTTAGCAGTTCATCTCCCACTTTCTTCCTACCCCCGCAGCCCTAGCAACGCCGCTGGAATTTTTTCTCTTAACGGGGATTTGCCTATCTGGACATTTGCATACAATATGTGTTCTCTTTTGTTAATTGGCCTCCTCTGCATTCCTCTCATATAGGAGGTTTCTGCAATGCCACTCCCACAAAACCTCACTTCACATCATCAACGCCATGTTCTTACTCTCCTTTCACAGAATCTTGTTACGAAGACCTCTCTCAGGATCAGAAAAAGTAACTATTGGATACTAGACTTGGTACCTGGGTGACGAAATCATATGTACAGTGAACTCCTATGATACAAGTTTACCTATATAACCAACTTGCACATGTACCCCACAACCTAAAAGTTAAAAAAAATTTTAAAGCAAAAATAAAAATTTTAATTAAAAAACTCAACTGATAAGATCAGTGAATTAAATATTGCCTATTTCACCTGTTTTCTGGTTATAAATATAGCTCACCACTTTGAAAGTAGGGCCATTGTGAACCATCTTTGGTCTAGAATGCTGTCCAGTTCCATAATCTTTTTCTTGGTCAAATTTGTTAAATTTATAAATAAATAAATATTGCCTAATTTCTCTGCCCTTAAGCTTGGTTATTACCCTCAGTAGGTGTACCATCTCCTAGTCATTAACCGTATTTAACCTCTCTTCCATCTACTGTCTGAGCTTAGACTGTCCTGCCCAAGCACTTCAAGTGATGAGGCAACTCTAGGTGGCCATTACGTGATTGACTCTCTAGTTACAGTTGTTTGAATTAGGGGTGACCCCTTACCAAAGTGAGACCAATTTGTGAAATGGCCTAATATAAAAAGCACCCAAACCATGGACAAGCCAAACTGGGGAACAGCAATGGGAGCAGTGTCTAAAAGGAAATTAAGGCCGCGCACAGTGGCTCATGCCTGTAATCCCAGCAGTTTGGGAGGTCGAGGCGGGCAGATCACTAGGTCAGGAGTTCGAGACCATCCTGGCCAATATGGTGAAACCCCGTGTCTATTAAAAATACAAAAATTCGCTGGGCGTGGTGGTGCGCACCTGTAATCTCAGCTACTCGGGAGATGAGCAGACGAATTGCTTGAACCTGGGAGGTGGAGGTTGCAGTGAGCCAAGATCGCGCCACTGCACTCCAGTCTGGGCAACAGAGTGATACTCCGTCTCCAAAAATAAGTAAGTAAATAAATAAATGAAACCTAAAAAATAATAAAAGGAAATTAAGTGTTTAGAGAGGCCAAAGGTGTCATGAGAGGCCTTGAAGGAAGTTAGTGCATAGTGCCTTCAATATGCTACAGGTTAGCAGAAACTATAGGTAGAGAAAAGGTGTGAGTAGTTGGTTGGGGAAAAGATTGGGTGCAAAGAGAAGAAACTGAAAGTAGTGAAGTTAACATTAGTAACACTAGTGTCAAAAGATTAAATGGAAGATCCAAGGGTTTCGGTAATGGATCCAATTTAGTCAACTGTTCTGTTCTGGAAGTTGAAGATTGTAAATTTCTGTTGTATAATAACCATGAGGATGGTAGTGATGATACTATCTTTTACTGGTTTACCCAGCTTGTCCTTACAGCATTTCTGGTTAAAGTTTCAAAAGTTGGTTCCAAAATGTTAGGAGGCTTCTCTGTGCCCTTATTCACCGCTGCAGTTACCACCACTGCTGCAGACTCTACAACACTGCATCTGAGAAACTGTCCCTTCTAGCCTAGGGAAAATCCCATGACCGCTTCATTAAAATGTCCCAAAGGCAATGGAAGAATACAGAATATACCAATTGAAAAACTCAAATTATCTAGGATATTGAGTTCCCCCCTGGGTAATTATGGGTAACTAATTCCCCATTCAGTCTCTTCAAGCAAGAGGCAGGCAGCCCTGGCAGGGGGCTTTATTTTTTACTCTTTATTTTAAGCAAAGTAACACATACTCCTAAAAAGTCATTCTGTTACACAAGGTCTGCTGAGACCACGGCATTTCCCAGCCCCACTTTACCTCTATTTTCCTTGCTTCTGAATCAACTACTTTCAATTCTTTTTGCTCAGGAGTTGGTAAACAGCCCATTGGCCAAATCTGGCCAGCTGCCTGGTATGGTAAAGTTTTATTGGAATAGGTATGCCCATGTCTACGGCTGCTTTCACATTATCAGGGCAGAGTTGA